AAAGCCAGTGGGAGGCCCGCCAAACTGCTGAGGTTCATTCGAGAAGGAATTTTAAAAATAAATCAAACTTTTCACCTGCTTCTGTTACAACTTTGTAACTCAAGGTTTGGTAAACCCTGATGTCCTTTTGAGCCAGCAAAAGATGATGGTCAAAATGTATCCTTTGACTGATTTTACACGTTCTCACTCCCGACTCGTCAACATATTGACACTTGGTCTGTGTACAGTTTTGACATGTCGGGTACCCCCCTAGCGTCAGTCCTTGCCGCCCGCGGTTTTTCCGGGTTGCGTCACTGAGGGGTCTTTGGGTTGGGGGTCTGGGGTTAATATGAGGGATCAGGATTAATGGTTAATTTTAGGTATTGAAGTCGGGGATAGGCTGTATATTGCTAATATAGGTTAAATTTAGGGTCTGGGATGGTTAGTTCTTGGGCATTCTCTATATTTTCAAAAATGGTTAATATGAGGGATCAGGATTAATGGTTAATTTTAGGTACTGGGGTCTGGGATAGGCTGTACAGGGCTAAAAGAAGTTAAATTTAGGGTCTGGGATGGTTAGTTTCGCACATTTCCTACCCTTTAAAAATATGACAAGGCGCTTGTGCTCCTCCGCCTCAAGAACTGACGCATGGGGGTACCCGACCCGTCGAAACTGGACATAGACAGCTACCTGACCAAGCGTCAATATGTTGACGAGTTGGTAGTGAGAACTGGTTGACTGATTTCACCAAACCAAAGAGAGGAGCGCTAACAGACCATCAAAATTCATAAACATGGAAGTATAGATTTGTTGTGCAGTGTCCATTATGCTTGGCTCAAATTGAAGGTCTTACACAGCTACGTTTTCAATACAAGGGTTTAACGCTGAAATTTAACTCTTAAATGTGCAAACTGTTCGTGGTGTTCATAAACAGGATCTCTAGGTCCAGATGTGGAGAGGACGGTGTCGAGTTTTAGATCTGCGCTTTCTGAATGATATTTCGTTGACCGCAAGAGTTCGTTACCTTGAAGTCTTGTTCATGAGTATGGCAGGATGAGGTGAGAAATGAACCAACAGGATGACTTGAGTGGCTGAAATATGGGCACTGCTCTAGTCAGTTGTGTTGAAAAAGTGTTGAAAAAAGCGTCTTAAGTTAATGGTCTATCTATGTCCAAACACTCACCTATAGTCATGGGATTTGGATCATGACCCAAACAACGATGTTCTAGAAAGGGGCTTCCTCTATAGMGTGGGTGGACTGAAAAGTTGGCATGGCGTCACGTGGTTTTTCAACATTTGTTTTCGCACACATTTTTCATAGCCCATGAGACGCACGGTGCAGGGCTCATGGGATACCCCTCTCGCGGCTGTGCACATCACATAGAGTCTAAACTCTAAAGGGGAAAAAATCAGGGGATATCAGAATGGAGATATCCATTCTGATATCCTCCATTACTTTGGCCCCAAATCTGTCATGGTCAGAGCAGTTTCTGATGATTGTAATACCTTTATAGGTGTCATGGAGAGTCATATAAATGGTTGTACTTTCTGACTGCCTCTGACCACTGCTTCTCAAAACTATCCATGTTGTTTGGACACACAACAACCGGCTTCTAGAAGCATTCTTATTTGAGTGCTTCTCTGCAAAACAAACACACTCACGAACTTCTGACCAATCACACATTACTGTATTTTCTAGGGGTGCACCAATGAATCGTCCAGCCGATTTCCTTACTTTTGGGAGATCAGAGATCGGCTGATCCTTAGATAAGATCGGTGGACAAAACTGGTGGAGAAGATCGGTGGAAAAGTTCGGCTTTTGTATCTCCACAAAGGTCTGAAAATCAGCCACTATCCTCCTACCTAATAGAGATGGGATAAATGGCTCTTTGAAGGGATCCAGATCTTGGGGAGCCGTTTGTTTCATAGAGCCGTTCAAAAGAGCCGTTCGATTTTGAACGTATTACGTCATCACGCAGGGAAATACGTCATCACGTAGCCGTACGTAATGACATAATTCCGTCACGTGGGTGGAACCATTTGTTTGTCAAGTGGAAACCCCCCTCCCACTTTCACCGTGAGCTTCTGTACTCCACAACTCCGCCTGTTTTCCATGAAAAAGCAAAGCGGGAGCGATTTAAATATGAAAAAATAAAGATTATATGAGGAATAAACAAAATAAAACTACAAATGGCTCGTTACTGCCTGCAATTCGGCTCCTATCGTTCGTTGTAAAGAGCCGTTCAAAAGATTTGGATTGTTCGCGAACGTCGCAGCTCTACTACCTAATATCCAGTTAAAACAAGTTTGTATTGTTTCAAGGTTATTGTTCAAAATATTTCAGTAAAAGAGCATTTGAACATTGAAGTTGTATTGTGACTTTACAACATCTGACAGTGTCAGCTATTTAAAAAAATTGGTATCGGCCAAAATCAGAATCGGCAGGTCAGACTTTTTAAAAATCGGAGATCGGCAAGAAAACTGGAATCGGTTGTACCTCTAGAATTTTTGTGTGCCAAGGGGGGCGAAAGGTTAGCCCAGGAGCTTGTGACAAAGAGACATGAAGCTGAGAACAAAATTATGTGATTTTCTTCACACAACTGTAACAATAAGAGTAAATTTCGMAGGTTTGGATGGACCACGCTGAGGCCTTCGGTCGTAGAGAAACGGTGAGGAGGAGCTCGGAGTCGAGCCGCCTCTCCTCATTAAAAGGAGTCAGCTGGAGTGGTTTGGACCGATGCCTCTTGAATGCCTTCCTCTGGAAGTTTCCCATCATGTCCCACTGGAAGGAGGCTACGGGACAGACCCAGGACCTAGATCCTGATGAAAGGATCACTGTTGCGTTCCATTTGTCAAAATCAACTGGTCCACCCATATTGACTGTTAGCCTGATTATTGAGCACTACTATTAGCAAATCATACTGATTTTGCAAGTTGCAACTGGAATGGGATAAAGTTGACAGCATTTCCAGATCCAAGTTCTGACTCAGAGATAAATTGAAAATATCCCCTCTGACCTTGAAACACCCTGTGATCCATCAGGAGCAACTGGAGAGGGGGAACTGGGTTTAGGGTTGACCAGGTTTTCCTGCTAGGAGTGGCAGAAAAAAATATGGATAAATAAATGTTATTTGCTAACGTTATCTTTACAAAAAATTTGTAACTTGAAATTCTGTATCCTTGGTATTTCTCTGTATATTAATTTCGTGCCAAATTCAGAGTTACTTTAACTGCCACGGTTTCAATAATAATAATAATAATAATGTAGCACAGAATAATAAATGAGCTCTGTAAGCTTGTTTCCACAGGTCCAGGTCAAAGTAGTCCGAGTTTCATTGATGTTAAGAAAATAAATTGTTGAATTATAATGTTATTATGAGATGATCTTTTTAGAGGCTGAGAGTGTTGAAGGACAGATTGTGGAGGATGCTGTTTTGTATAGGATGATCTCCAAGTGAAACTTATTTTCCTGATTAATTTAGCTATAATATTCCACTGGTTCATCAGCTGAGAATACTTTATTTTGAAATCATGCTTCATGCTGAAGTAGAAAATCTGCCACAGAAGCACGTGGTAGAGAGCTGGTGGGAGAAATAATCCTCTAAAACTTCAGGATTAATGTTGGCATGCAGTTCAAAAGGACAGCGCGAGCTGTGTTTTTACTGTATGAAGGGAACGTACTGTAAACTCACAGCAGTTCTATTTATACCCCGTCGTCCTTCTTTACAGGATGTTTAAGTAGAAGAGGCCTGTGGCGGAACAGCGTCAGCAGGACAGGTTAATGTCAGGCTGAGGGCTTGAATGAGGTCAAACTGAGCAGCAGAAACAAACAAACAAACAAACAAAAAATGGCCGGGGTAATCGTTAAAGGAAATGGACAGTAAGACAGACCTCTTTTAGGGTTTTTCTACTTGGTTAAAATGTTGGCATGCTCCTTTTTTAAATTAAATTCTCAGATAATAATAATTGGACGACCACATCCAGTTGATTCATTTTCGGAGTCAGTCCGTTTCAAGATGTCTGCCACAGCTAATAGATACTAACCAACACAAAAAACGGCTATAACTCAGTCAGTTTTATAAATATTAAGATAAAATTTGCTGTGGTAGTAGCTGAGAGTCATTCACAACTCATACTCTGAGCGCTGATGGATAGTATTTACAAGGTTTGAGCAAATCAAATACAGTATAACTGTACCTTCTCAACATAATGTGCTGCATTCTTTTTATATTTTAATCTAATTTGCTTGTATTAAACAGATCAGTGCATTTTTTTGTGCAACACGCATGCTWAAGTCGTTTTATACAACCACACATACCTTAAAATCACAAGTTATACCGTGACAGAATTCAGGCTCATTTTCTTGAAACATCAGTTTAGTCGTTGAATCGGTTCAGCGTTGCGGCTGAAGTGGTACAGCCACACAGTGGGACTGTCAGCTCACGACCATCAAGCCACTCGCTGAAGCAGAAGCAGGAACAGTGAGTTCCAAAACAAAAAGCCTCGACGGTTACAGTGGACACATCGTGGCTTTTGTTCCGCGTCCAAGCCTGATCTGGACGAGCTGCTGTACTCGTCATSGCTCGACCTGAAACCCAAATTCCCACGTCCTGCTCATGTTGACCCAGATCCGATAAAGAAAAGTTAAAGTTTATTTTCATATCAGAACAAATGAATTATTTTACTGTTTCTCTTCTACAAAACTGTAATTTAACATATGTGGACGAGATGGAAGAAAAGCCACGCATTTAGTGGTCAGTGCCGCCCCCTGCTGTCCAACTGCAGTAACAACAATCAAAAACAAATACAAACTCAACCCCTACAGTTAAATAACCACTGACCGCTGAGTTTGCTGACAACTCTTGCTGCCTCTTCAGCCCCTCCAGCTGCTTCTGCAGGTGGGAAACCTCGTCTGTCATTTGCCTGAAACCGTTTAAAAGTGTTTAATTTGTGTAACAGTTACCGACACTGGAGTAACATGCAGTGTTTTACCTGTGGGCAGCCTGAGCCCTGCTCACTTGGCAGCGGAGGTTCTTGATGGCTTCATGGCACCTTTTTTGAATCTGAAGCAGAGAAATACATCACATCATATTATCACAAATTAAAAATCCACTAAAGTCATATCCAGTCAGACTCATCTGCAGCACACTAAGACGTTTGAACACAAGTCCTACGATAGTGTTTCAGCTTACTCCTATATCTTTCTTTAACTGGACATGAGTCTGAAACTCTTTCTTCAGCTCCTCTCAGCTTTAGTCATTCGTCTCTAGAGATCTCCTTCAGAGCATCAACCTGTTTCTGCAAAGCAAAAGATACAAACGAGTCAAATAAAAAGCTGAACAAAAGAGACATTTGTATATTATTGTTTTTAACCTTGGTTACCTGCAACGTGTTTCCATTTTGATTCTCCAAATCTTCCTTCAGCTGTTTTATCTGTTTCAGCCTCTCGAGCAGATCTCTCTCGTCCTCCAGCTCTGTGTGGGCCTCCTTCTGGCTGGCAGCTGCTCTGTGGCCCTTCCTCTTGGATCTGTAAGTGTCAAACTAATGCCAGGAGAGGCTTCTCCTCCTCCTCACTTATGGCAATCTGGATTTCTGTGTTTTCCTCTCTGACGGTAGCACAGCGATCAGGCAGGACTATATATAAAATCTGCGTCTCATGTCATGTTACTCCATCTCTGCTTCCAGTAACATGACATCCCTCACTTTGGATCGGAGCTCCTGTTCTGCATCCTCACCTTTCTTCTCAACATCTAAAAGAGCTGCCTTGAAGAAGAAACACGTGGTCAAACCTTGATTCCTAACTATACTATTTCTGTACAATTATATTTATATTCCAATGATAAGTGTAATTCTATTGTAAATAATAATAATGACTGAAAAAGTATTTTTAAAATGGCCAGTTTAAAGATGTACTGTAAGTACCTGCAGGGAAGAAAGTATCTTTTGTTTTTCTTTCAGTGCCTCATTTTGGGTGCAGCCATGTTGACTGGTGTCCTCCACCACCTTGGTTATTTCCATCACTTTGTTGTCTAGTTTCTAAGAAAGTGACTAGCCAATGGCCAATATAAGACATTAAGAGAYTTTTTTTGTCCAGTTTGTAAGTTCCAATTATCCAAAATATAACAATTGTCCAAATTAAATGAACGTGTTTAGCAACACTTGAAATTAAACATCTAAAAACATATGCTGTGAATAGAAAAGCATTTAGGCTTGAAAATAGAAATATGAGCTACAGTGGGCTCATTTCAGCTGCTGCTGAATCCTCATTTTCCTTCTTATCAATATTTAGATATGACAGAGCAAGTGGCAAATATCAGCCAATTAAATTGACTGACTGATTAATTGGTCTATACCTCAATTTGTTTAATTTATTATTATTGTGTGTGACATTTATATATGCACTTTTACTGAGTTAACTACAAAATAACGCAGTATTGAGTAGGGGTGTAAGAAAATATCGATACACTGAAATATCGCGATATTTCATTTCCCAATACTGTATCGATATTTTAAAGCCCTGTATCGATTTTTTATTAAGCTTTAAAATGTCAACTTTCCTGCCAGCCGTTCATTTTTATGTTGTAGTTCAGCCTCTGACCACTAGTTGGCAGCAGTGAGCTATCACAATATATCGCCTTGCTTACAGTATCGCAATATATCGGGGTATATCGTATCGTGACCCCTCTGTCATGATATGTATCGTATCGCCAAATTCTTGCCAATACACAGCCCTAGTATTGAGATGTGAACTAGTCTGAATCAAACGGTGTCTGTGCAGCGCTGCAACAAGGTGGATATTTTCCCCTTTTCGTGGACTTTGCGTGGTTATTAATTTCATTAAGAAAAAAATTGTATAGGTCTTCTGGACGGGTTCTTCTYTAATGAAACGTTTCGTCTCTCCTCCAAGAGACTTCTTCAGTCTGAGAGTTTCAGGCAAAATTCAGGCTTTTAAGTCCTGACTCCGTGTGACTGATACTCACATCACATGGCTATCGTTGACACCTAATTAACACCTATTGTTAACAGGGGGTGGAGTGATACTGGCAATAGCCGCGCTGTAGGAGGGGGACAACTGAAAACGGAGGCTCCACCTCTGTTTAATGATGGACGGTCTTTCTTCACAAAAATGGCTTCTTTTACTCCTCTCTCAAAACAACGTTCCTCTCTATCAAGAATGAGAACATCCTCATCTCTGAAAGAGTGACCGCTGGCCTGCAGCCACTGTTCAAAAGAATGTCCCAACACAGACGAGCTACATCTAATGGCCAGAACTCTGCAGTTTTCACTCATTTACAGGCCAGCGGTCACTCTTACAGAGATGAGGATGTTCTCATTCTTGATAGGGAGGAACGTTGGTTTGAGAGAGGAGTAAAAGAAGCCATTTTTGTGAAGAAAGACCGTCCATCATTAAACAGAGGTGGAGGCCTCCGTTTTCAGTTGTCCCCCTCCTACAGTGCTGCCATTGCCAGTATCACTCCACCCCTGTTAACAATAAGTGTTAATTGGGTGTCAACGATAGCCATGTGATGTGAGTATCAGTCACATGGAGGCAGGAGCCTGAAACTCTCAGACTGAAGAAGTCTCTTGGAGGAGARACGAAACGTTTCATTAGAGAAGAACCCGTCCAGAAGACCTATACAATTTATTTCCTCTTGATTTTTTACCTGGATTACTGAGATACATCAGGACATTAATTTCATTATTTAAACAAACAAACAAACAAAACATTTCACACAATAAAACGATACAAATAAAACAAAATGAAAGGCAGCTGCAGAAGAAAAAAATTCTTATGATATCTGCTCCTTAAAAAATATTTTAAACAATGATAAACGAAATAACTAACAAAACAAAAAATTGCAATAAATTGCTATTCCCATTGCTGAAACTTTCATCTTGTTGAATTCTTTTAGAAAAATATAAGTTCGGGGTAAACAATAAAACTATACAGCTACTGTAAGTAGTATTAGTTATAGTATCAAAATCGATTTTTAAAAGAAACTATTAGCTAGTTGTAGCACCTCGTATCTAACGAGCTAATGGTTAGCGTTAGCATTAGTATGTTAAAGGTTTATACACATTTTTTTCTGGTAAAATAATTAAATTTATCTGATTTGATCATCTTACCCTTTTGCATTCTGTAGATTCTGACATTTTCGTTAGCAATGCTGGCTAACTTTACTCATACACATCTGTGCTAGCAGCCAATTAATACCAATAAATACTTCTACACTGTAGTTAATTTCTACATTTTCATTAATCAGAACTGGGATCAAACTACAATACCCAGAAATCCTTTCTTCTGTACGTTGTTAAGTACATCCGGTTTGTAAAGTGGAAATTTTTACTTTTTACTTTTAATTTCACTCGCCTAAATGTTTTGTCAAACGTTCGTCAATAGTCGTTTTTAACTTTTTTTAAATTTAGTTTTCAACTCTTCGGTAGCGACAGGTTAAACTACAATTCCCAGAGTTCCTTTCGTCTCTTTTTGACGCTACATCCGGTTAATGCTAGCTGTAGCAGCAATGCTGTTCTTTATAACTCGTCACTGTCACTAGACTTGTTTAGTTTTAATAAAATGTTCGTCAGTCACAGTTTTCGGCTGTGTTCTTTCTGTATCCGTGTCGTTTCACGCAGAAGAAGAGAAAACGAAGGATGGAGGAGGACACWGAGTTACACCACCAGTCCGAAATGTTTCAACATGGAAGTGCAGCACTGGGGTTCAAGAGTACCAAAACGCTACTGCCACCGAGATCTGGAGGATTTATACAACAATAATTCAGTCCAGAGATATCTCCAGCAGCTGATGGAGGAGTATGAAGTAGTCAGTAGGAGGCTACAGGAAGAGTTTGTCAGTGAGTCTGACAAAAAAACACTGCTGAAGAAACACGCAGAGCTCCTGCCTTTATCAAACATGTGTGGGAAAATTGACCAAGCCAGGCAAGACCTCCAAGAAGTTCATTCATTGCTGCAAAGTGAGTACAGCTTTTAAACGTTTGAACGTGTTTATGACACAATAAACGTGCAAATGTAAAAGTAAAGTAGCTATTACTGTGTTAACCTRCAGGTTCAGCTGGATCCACAGATGAAGACAAACAGTTAACCCTGTTGCTCAAAGAAGAGGAAGCACAAATATCCAACAAGATTCTGGCTTTGAACGAAGATGTGCGTCTTTTTGCTGTATGTATAGATATTTATGATTGATGGTTCCGTGTTAATATCATCTTTCTCTGCAGCTGATGAAAGCTCTGGTCCCCGTTGACCCTCTTGACTCCAGGGACGTCGTGTTGGAGGTTATATCAGGACGAACAACAGGAGGTATGAAAGAGAAGAATTGTTTTTTTTTTTTTACTACTGGTTTGCATCTTGATTCACATAAGAACCGCAGTTCTCTTTTACAACGATTCAGAATCCATACAAAACATCCCAAAATTGATTAAAAAAATGTCCACTGGCTGTTTGCCTCCATGTTTATAACCTTGCTGAGGACGCAGCTACAGTGGGGAGATCAAGTATTTGATACACTGTTGATTTTTCAGGTTTTCCCACTTGCAAAGCTTGTAGATGACTGTAATTTTTATCATAGGTACTCTTCAACTGTGAGTGATGGAATCTAAAACTAAAATCCAGAAAAATACAATGT